AATATAGCTGTAGAATGAAACTTCTAGCGTGTAGCAGTAGGACATATCGTTTAACAACCCACCAAGAAAACGCCGGCCTGTCCCTGCCTTCACAGCATCTCGGTTGAAGGATGTACTGGACTGTAAGAGAAAGAACACAAAGAATTCATGAGTGGGATAAGGGAAGGGTTGGGAAGCAGTCTAATAAAACAGAATAGCAAAATTCATACTGACAAACCTCATTTACCTTATGTGATACTGCACTAGAGTGGCCTGGAGAGATCATTACTGTAAACATGATGCTAGCACATGGACTATAAATAATGCCTTGCAAGTTTTCATAAAACTAATCTCAGTTCACTAGTAACATGAAATTTTCTCCCCCACACTCTTGCATAATACTTAAAGAAAGCCTGGCCTATGCTTAAGGTAGAAGGGGAATCTTCAGACCATCCATTTTCAAAATTTTACCTGCCCTATATAAGCAGGTTCCTCCTCTCCACTAGTTCTCTCTGTACCATAACCATTTTCCCACTACCCCCACCCGCTTACCCTGCACTCTTTCAAGCAAAGAAGAAATCCAGTGGCATTTAAGTTTTAGTCAAACTTTCTCACCTAAGACATCTGACTGGTTCTTAAATTAGGTCACACACATTTCCATTTCACTGACTTAAATGTTAACTGGGTGTTGCTCTTTGGGTAGAAAAAGATACTGCACTATTTTACAGCATTAGCAGCATAGTGTAAAATGCAGTATTTTGTGCTATCACTGATGATCTGGCTTTAAGAACGCTATAGCTTTATGACTATTCATTTGAGGGGTGGATAGGATGAGTCTAAATATTCCCATCAATGAGGTTTGACTGTCCTTTGAAGGTATAACATCTGGAGACTAAAGGAGAGCTCATCTCCACATGCACTGAAGTCTCAGAGCCTGTTACTACGAACTAGATTGAAAAACAGAATCTAATTTCATTTGGGTTATCAGACCCTATCCAAAATCTAAGAACCATTAGATTGAGTCAATCTGGGCTTTGCATAAGCTGATGGCCACAGGAAAACACTTAGTAGAACTTACTTGGGTTTGTTGCATAAAATGCCTTAATATTTCCTACTTTTTAAGATTTTTACATTGCCAGAGGAACTTAAAGGACCCTTAAACACAGCTTACAGCTCAGTTATTGTGCCCATTGTGAATTTTTTGAGTTGTCTGGGGGCCTCCTATTGAACCTTTAGCTATTGTATTTTTTTGCTAACACAATGTTAGCGTGTATCAAGTCCACCTCTTATCAAAAAAAAGGGAAAATGAGAAATTTATTTGAAAAAGCTCAAAACATTGAACTTCAAGACTGAGAAAAATCACACTAACACGGACATGAACAACAATTCTTGATGAATAGTATATATCAGAAGATACAAAGAACCAAAATATCTGTGGTTTATTAGCATTCAGAATGTTTTGAATTCTCTCATGTTATAACAAAGAAGGCTTTATAGGTTAATTAGAATAAGATGGAATTGGGTTTCTTATTAACATTATATGTAGGAGTTTCTAAATGGGACTTGTAGTCTATGTAGCAACATAATATTAGATTTGAGGTAAAGGGAAAGCAGAATGTATTCTGCTACATACATATCATCTAATTTCTTCCAAATTAGATGGCAGAAACCTTGAGGATACTCTGAACACCTACAGGACAGTGATGTAAAACATTCATAAGGATTGAAGGTGAAATTAGTTGTTAATTCAATACATGGAATAAAATACTTGCAAAGGTCTGAAGGAGGAAAAGTTCTCTGACTTCCTGAAAATGAAGCCTTCAAAAGACTACTGAGACCCTGACAAACTGAGGGAAGCTTTGCCTTCAGTTAAAATCAGAAACAGAGAGGAAGATGCTCATGCTCTGGGAATCACTTCATAATGAAAGTAAACATTGATTTCAGTGGCTAGTGCTTCCTGTTAAAATGAACGTTCCTGTGGTGGAACATTAAATGGGAGGAAGCATCAGCTGGTGAACATGGGCGCGTGGAGCCAGCTCAAAGGGAGACGACAAGGCAGCATGGTGTTGTGGTTTGTGAACAGGAGCACAACTCATGGGAGACACAAACTAAGCACAGGAGAAACGAGGGACATGTCAGAGAAGTGATTTAGGGCAGGCAGTAGGGACAGAAACACTCCAGTGGTGAGTATAATCACAAACTGATAGGGAGTTTCCGCAAAGATTATAGAATCTCATCAACTATGTTTAAGAACAGATTGGACAAGTCTGGTGTAGTTCATGCTGTCTTTGGGGTACTGTTTGGACTTGAGGTCCTTTCCGGCTCTATTTTCCATGATTTCTATCAGGTTAGAGGAAGGTTACTAGTTGAATTCCTCATAGATGATTCTTGAGATAAATTTTACATAATATTTTCACCATAGTCCTTGGCATAATAAGGGAGGATGGTGCCAACAAAATTTGCTGATGACACAGTACAAGATGAATCATCATTATGGAGGAGGCCCTGAATATCATATATTAAATTAAAAAGTGGAATGACTTGGAGGACCAGAGTGATAGTAGTCAGATGAAACTCAGCTGCACAAGTGCCAGGTCATGTACTTAGGGCGTAATAAGAAACAATTTCCGCTATAAACTGAAACCTCATCAGCTGGAAATAGATGAAGATAAAGAGTCTGATGTATTACTTTACCGAAGTGATTTTTGCTTTCTGGCAGAAAAGAGCTCACAAGTTGGATCTTGTCATGGGCAAAATTATACTTGCTATATTTCAAAAGTAGGCATAAGTAGTTTAAATAATTTGAAGAAAGTTTTTCAAATGGCTGAAAAGGAAAAAAACAAAGTTTGTATCTTTCCAGAGCTTATTTTATTATCATGTTTTGTGATTTTTTTTTTTTTTTTTTAAAAGAGTTCCAGTTTCACCAGTGCAAAAGACTATTGCCATTTCAAGTAATTAATGAAATAATCTGTTCAGGTAGTGCTGCACTTTAAGAAAGGGAAAGCTGACCCTTCGTTTAGGTGCATAAACGTAGTTTTTGGAGGTTAACTTTGTCTGCATTTTCAAAAAAATTTTGCTTCTGATGGCAAAGATCAACTTGATGTCTTGAGCAAAAAGTAGGATCTCTGATTTGATTTAGGGAGATTGAGGTAGAGAAAAGATACCATAAAACTTGCAAATATGAACACATGCAGGTTTTGTAACAGTGGCTTGGGCTTCGCTTTAGAGCAAACGATACAAGCCAGAAAGTGATCTGATATTTTAGATGAAAAGAAGAAAATTTATAATTCAAGAAAATTGAAGAAAATTCAAATAATGACAAGGAAGGGCAGCTGGTATATGTTTGAATCCAATATTCCTCTCTCTGTTTCAAGTCAAGATAAATGGCATGGAGAAAATAAACAGGCAAAATACTGATTCCTCACCAAAACTGATCCTGGCAACTGACATACTGAAACAAAGACTATGAAAAGGAGTGTATGATCATAACAAAGAAAGAGGCTTTTGTCTGCCCATTTATTTAATCAGACCTTAACCTGGGGAGAAAAGGAGGTGCATGGTATCAGAGCAAAGACTGCAGGTAAGGTTATTGGTAAAAGGCTCTATTGTTTCTCTGGGAGAATCTATTACCCTAAGACCCTTGCAATGCTGAGCTGAAGTCATTATTAAGCAAATGCACTGAGAAGGCACAGCAGGAGAACAGCTAAACAAATATTTATTTCTGCAAGGCTGAATTGCATGGGAGTGTCAACAACAGCAGTAGCAAAAAGTACTAAATCTTTGGGGGAGGGGGAAGGAAAATACCAAAGACTTTGAAGTTCTTGAATAGGCATATTTGTCTAAAATAAACAGTAATTCATTATCAAAACACATAGACACATTAAAGCTCACAGAATGACTCTGTTTCCCAGCTCCTGCAAGAAAATTGAGTGAGCAAACAGTTATTTAGAGGGTTAGGAAGTGCCAAGCAATAATAATCCAGTGTTAAAACAGCAGAGCAAGAAGAGTGAAGGATCTTCCTTCGTAGAAAGTCAGCAGGAGCCTACACCTGAGTCTCATGCACACTTGGGAGCCTCGAGGTGTACTGACCCTCTCTGTACATCTTGCGCATCAGTGGTAGCTTCCTCAGGCCTCCCTGCCAGATCTTGCCCCCTGTCCCCACACTCTGAAGGCCTTCTGTATGACTGGTTTCTCCACTGGGAAAAACAACGAACAGGCAGACAGCATGAAGAAATTGGTAAGCCAGCTGGCCCTTACTCACAGATGTTGCAGCAGACAACAAGATGCGTGGTAAGCCAATATGGAAAAAAATCTGTATGCAAACTTATTTCTGGAGTGGTCTCAAAGCAGCAAAAATATTCCTGGCCATAGGTCAGATCTTTCAGTGTGCCAGATCTCCTCCTTCTGGGTGGTCTTGTCTCCTGGCTGATAAGGACACTCTCCACCACACAGTGGCTCTCCTCAGTGAATTCAATCCCCTCCAGCAGCTGGCTCACAAGCTCAATTGCTTAGTCAGCTCCCATGCGACTGAGAGATACTCTTGGTTTCTCAGCACTCTACATCAGCCTGCCGGCAACTACTGTAAAGGATGCCCAGAGCAGTCCACATTCAAAAATGAAGAGCAAGCTCTTTACTCCTTGTCTGCACATATCTGTATCAATCTGTCACAAGAGAGGCTTCAAAAGATGAAAAAGGGAATCCTGGGTTTCTTTAACTGAGACTGAATTTTCCCAGTTCACCCCTTGGCTTGCTGGTGTTCTGGGACTCCGAGCGGTTTTGCACTGTTGGAAGTGCCAGGGCAGGACCTCTCTCCCAATGCATATGTGGCTTCACAAGGGACTTGTCCTGCTACAGCACCAGAAAACCCTGGGGCGGCCCAAGGGGAAAACCTAGTGAGTCTGAAATAATAAGACTGGTCACTGCTCAGTGGAAGAGGAGATGCCAAGAAGAGCTAAAATGTAAGCTAGGCGCAGTATGCAAGTGGTGAAGGATGGGAGCTTCTGTTTTACCTCTCACCGAAGACAGGGCAAAGGGACAGGGTACAAGAGCTGTTACTCTGTCACACAGGAGCTGCTGTGGAATGGACCTCTGTCTTCTCCTGAAAGTGCTCAACATGTCAGGGGGAAAAATGGATCAAGTTG